ATTTAATGATTCGGAAGGAAAGAGTGCAATGAAGAAGAACAACCCAATAAATAAGGGTGTAAACGAGTCGAACACGAGCGAGCCTTCGGGCGAGCCTGGGCTCAGCTTGTGTTCGACTCATTAAAAAATATCACTGCTCGTGTTTCGCTCGTTTATATTTTGAATAAAAAAAAATTGTTCATGTTTGACTTGTTTGCTTAGCGAACCGAACACGAGCTGTTCTCTGATTGCAGATAGGTCGCCGCTCATTTGAGATACAATGATTCACCCTCTACTCTTATGTTCTTGTTAGGCTATGATAATATAGTGTGGATCCTATGAGTTGAATTTGTTATGAAGGCCTTATATATTGATCAGTCGCTACCCATTTGGGATGTGAGTGACTCACTCTCTTCCTTGTGTCTTTGCTAGAGCTTTGAAAGAATTAGGATGTTTCTGTGAAATAATACCCTTTCGGTGACCTATTTACTGGTCATGATAATGTAAGCAAGTTTATTTTATCGAGAGTATTCTTGGGTATCCCCGAAGATGTAATTAACCAGTAGGAACACGTTCATCTGGGAGTGCTCTTGACCCCAGAATAGGTACATACACCTGACTCTCTGGTTATGGGTAGTCTATGTAGATACTTCATTTGCGGATATTGGTTTAAGTTGCCTCCGCCCGATCTTGTTTGGGTGGACATTCTTAACATATCCTTGTGAGGTTTATCGCACGTAAACTCTCCACGTTTTACTTTTTCTCTTGTTTGTCTCTTTGTCGCATGTCCCTTCTTATTCGATTTTTCTCCTCTTCGAATCATTTATATGGTTCGTGAGGGAGATTTATTTGAATGGAGGGAAGTATACGACGATCGACAAGCTGGCGACTCCTTTTAAAATAAAAAAGAGAAAAATGAACGAAAAAACAGCTACGACATGAACAACTTGAAAAATCATGTTAAACTATAGATTAAGAATCAAAGTACACTGTAGGGAGATGCAAATAAATAGGGAGATAATTTTATTGAGTTTAAAGTGGAACTTAAGAAATTAAGGTCACTTTAACCAAGCATATTAATATGCTCAGAAGAGAATAAAGAGAATTTATGCTTCTACTTATCACAATACTTTATCTTATTTCGCATTTCTTTCACATCTACACTCTACAATTATCTCTGCAAGGGAAAGTGACCTTAGCACTTGACAAAACCAATTCGCAAAACGTAGTTAGAAAATTTGCAGGAGTAAATTTATATAATTGAAGTAGATTTGTTAGTAAAACTTAAGTATTTCAATATTCCAAACTAAGAACGAATGAAGTAGACTAGAATATTGTCCTACTTTGACTTCACAGTACTCCTTATGGGTTCGATATTCCGGACTCTTAAGAGTCTTATAGTACTGAAACGATACGTATACTTGCGAGAGAAACCTCAGTGTGCAAGAAAATCTGATTTTAAGAATTTAATCAATTTGATAGAGAGCAAACCACATTTTCTAGTGTCATCACCGGGATTTACATTATTGTGATAACAGCTGAGGCGAACCAATGATTTAATCCATCTTTCGACTCTCGATCTCTGATGAGGGACTCTTGTCAATTCAGCGATGTTAGGCTATCGCACAGAGATAAATCACAATAATTCAATAGTTAGCTCACTCCTCAACAAGAAGAACCTATGGGATGATTGTGAGGCTCTATTGCATCGTCAATGTTTGGTCCTTATAACGAAACCTTGAGCGTTCGCGAGGCAGCAGATGATGGTGATGAACTGGATTATTTACTTGGGTTTGATCTGCCAGTTCAGACTTTTATCTTTTTTTTTGTCCATCTCTTGGCTCGGTTGGTCTTTGTCCTTGGCTCAGATGGTTGTATCCAATCAGATAAGTGAGACCACCTAATCTCACTTTGGTAGGCCCTCCTTTGTTGTAATACCTTCCTTCTAGACCATTGAATCTCATCTGGATTCGTGCTAGTACATTCTTGGTGTACAAAATATATTTATTTCTTTATCAGCTCCATACTTTGCTTGGAGCTAGAACCACCGGAAGCGACCCTACCCTGGTGTTGGACAAATATATTGTCATAATTGTGTCCTAGACTTTGGAAAACATTTAAAAAAATATTGAGATGAAGCGTCTACAATGATCATGCAAATGCCCTCAACATTTTCATTTTTTTTTTTTTTTTTGTGATAATAACCACCCTACAAGATTTATTAATTTATGGGAAAAAGTATGCAATCAAAGAAAGGGACAACAGCAATACTATAGAGTAGATCATACGTTAATCAAAGTAGAAATAACATCAATGACCATTATTTATTATGACATCGTCATGCCAGCTACAATGGGTCCTTCCCAGAGGAGTGCATAACAAACTTCCGGGTGAGCTACAATATTTAATGTCTCCGAAATGTTGTCAACAAAAAATGTGCAGTTTCTGACTACAACTACTTCGTAGAACAAGCGCCAATACAACCAACTCATCGCATGACGCATAAGCCATCATAATTTGTTCGTTATAATGCCTCTCACGCAAAAAAATAAAATGTAAAAGATAAAAAACAAAAAAAAAGAAGCTTCACCTCCATCTCAAAAAAAGTCAAAAGAGTAAGGTTACCCCACTATATCACAGTCATAATCGTCTTTTTTGGCAGTTTTCCTTTAAAATTGTGATTCAATCATCGAAAAGCTACAATTTATAATCCCAATTTGTAACTAGGTGTCCCCCTCAAATGATTAATGTATATTATATAAAAGGCAAAGCAGCAGTCAACTAGTCAAATGCATTTTAAAAATAATAAAATCAATGTTCCAAAACTCCTGAATTTGCATAAACAATTCCATAAGCCGCTAAATGCCCCCAAACAAATAGCATAACATGAATGCTCCCGCAACAATATACGAATTGCCCAATCAATCAAATCTCTATAACAGCAATCAACCTAAAAATTAAGCTGCTGGCCTGCATTATAAAGCCTAAGCGCATAAAGTACACTTACTGGAACGGGAATCGTTCTCCTCGTCGGAGCAACAATCCGAATCGCACTCCGAATGGGACGAGACGCTTCCCTCAGAACCAAGAACTGACGAGATCAGCTTCCCTGCGCCGGAGATGAAACCCCGAAACCAGCTAGGGCTTCTCTGGGCCTCCTGCTCCGTCGCCAGGAGAGCCAATGGCCCCGCAGAGGTCGACGGCTGGTTGTAAGGTAAAAACGGCTGCTGATGGAGACGGCCGTGGAGAGCCTTCTCCCCGGATTCCGATTCCTCATGGCCGGGCGGGAAACGGTACGCCATCTATGATCGAATAAAAGTATCGAGAAAACGGGAATGTATAGAAGAAATTGGACGGAGAGACCTCTGGGGAAAGCGGCGGTGGAAAACGCGGCCGCAGAGCACGAAATTAGTAACGGATGGTTTAGTGGCGCGCGGATTTCGGGCTCCGAAATACGAAACTGTTACGAAGGACGTCGAATTGTTACATTAATGAAGTCGGTTTTGCCCTCATCTAGATTCTGTTTGCTTAAGATTTTGTTAAAGACTTTGTTTAAAATCAGTTTTAGGAGGAAATTAGTTTTTTTTTTTTTTTTTTTTTTTTTTTTTTTTTTTTTTTTTTTTTACTTATTTGTCCTTGTTAAAGTCTTGGGCAAAGGAAAAAATAAGTTACATCTGGAGTCTGGACGTAAGCTACATCTAAATAATATTTATGATCAACCTGAGATCTTTTTTTTTCACTCATATGCTCCTTTTCGTGGATTACAATCATTGTCCGGACACAGCTTATATTTGGAAATCGGACGAGATCTTTTTGTTAGGCTAAGATACTATTAAATTAAGAGAGAGTAAACTTATCAAATATTTATTTTTAAAAAAAATAATATATCAAAAGGATAAAATTATTAAATTGTCAAAATTACACAAGAAAATAACATTAAATTTTGTTATTAAAATTAAAAAAATTACACATTTTAGGTGGTAATTGTCCTTTGGGCATAACCTGATTTGCCGCTGATTAAAACTGATATTAATATTTAAATAAATTATATTTACCTTTGCTTTATTAAATGAAAAACTTTGTTAGTTGTTTCGATAAATTATTAGTTGTAGTTTTTTTCGTATAAAGAGTAAAATACTCATATTTTTATATAAATTATAATTCTCAGTTTTATTATTAATTTTATGAAAACATATTTATAGAAATTTTAAAGATTTATTACTATTTATTATTGTTTACACATTAATTAATACTAAAATATTTTAGCATGATTATATGAATTGATAGAACAAAAATATTTATTTTAATTCTTCGGTTATGTCGTTTTCCCGTATCCATATTATGTTTTTTTTCTTTTAACTAGCACATATAACAATAATTTACTAAATATTTAATTTATCTCAACAACATACATAACTATTTACATAAAAGCAGGAGAAACCCACTATGGAGTAATTATGCTGGAGAAATCTTTGTGTTCTTTTGGAAAAAAATTTGTGTACATAAGACCTACGCAAGCGCTGCGTACATAATGGAGGTTATATTCGTGTTATATCGACATTATATTTGTGTTATATCCCTTGTAACCTCTGTGTAACTTTCATATAACCTACAGATATGTGAAAACAAAAACACGAAACTTATTTGTAAGTTCAGGCAGGTTACAGGTAATTTATGTGGAGATTACATCGAGGTTACAGACGACATAACGCGGATATAACGTGAATATAACATTCATTATATACGCAGCGCTGCGAACGTCTAACGTACGCAAATTTTTCTTGTTCTTTTAAGGGTAATGTTGATATTTTGCTTTATCAAAGACAGGCTTAAAAAGTCTATAAAAAAATGGGGTTCCAAAATGAATAAAAAATAATATTTTTGTAAAACATATCCTAAACAAAATTCAAAATTTGTTTTGGACTTCCTCAAAAAGAGAATCGTCTTTTGAAAGTTAATTCAATTGAGGCCTAAGGTGAATAGTTTTGGTGTACATCCAAAATATGATAGCGATGATCTTGAAGTGATATAATGTTCCAGAGGAAAAAAAATTTAAATGAGAAATAAATTTTAACCTTTTAAAAGCATGCATGTTAGCTCGTGAATGACAGACCCGTATGGGCGCATTTTGCCTCTGAATTGTAGCAGGGTGTACAAAATACTTCCATAATATGACTAGTTGAGAAGTTCACTAAAAAATAAGAAGCATGACAAATCTTTCTTCGAATTTTTTCTGTATCGAGGAATAGCTTCTCAGCATATTGCGACGGGTACATTAGGAATATTAATGGGTCTATTCCATCTTAGTGTTTGTCCGCATCAACATCTATACACAGAATTACACATGAGTAATACTGAAGCTCTGTGTTCCAGTAGTATTGTTGTTGTTTTTCTTTTTTGTAGCTTTCGTGGTTGCTGAAACTATGTGGTATGTTTTAGCGACTACCCCAATCAAATTATTTGGCCCCACATGTTATAAGTGAGATCAAGAGTATTTCCAACAAGAAATACATCGAAGAGTTGGGGCTAGACTAGCCGAAAATTGGAGCTTATTAGAAGCTTGGTCTAAAATTCTCGAAAATTAGCTTTTTATGATTACATCGGTAATATTTAGGCGAAAGGAGGATTATTAAGAGAAGGCTCAATGGATAATGAAGATGGAATAGTTTTTGGGTGGTTAGGGCATCCCATATTTATAGATAATGAAGGGAACGAACTCTTTGTACGTCATTTGCCTACTTTTTGAAAAATTTCTGATAGTTTTAATAGAAATAGGCGAAATTGTGATGGTTGATGTAGAATACAAAATCCCATCATTCAAATCATTTTTTTGAGAAACACAAGACATATAAGTGGTACAAGTAAAGAGATCTACTCATTAATAAGAAAAGAAAAAATGTGAACGGTGATTGAATTTATGAAAAAAAATAGAATTTTAGGTCCTGAACAGTGATTCAATTGATGATGAAGAAAGAGAATTCTTGGTTCAGTTCTCCACCTTAACGACAAAAAAAATTATTTATCAAATTATATTGTGTTTGACCATAGTGATCACTTCTCAAAGAATTACTCTGGTTATCAAGTGATTCAACAACCGGGATCATTTATGTTACTTAGTTAACATTCATCGGAAGGATGTAATGAATTATGAGTTCAATAGATCCTGTTTAGCAGAAAGACGGATATTCCTTGCTCATTATCATATAATCATTTATTCACAACCTTGTGTAGGGCTAATATTTTTCATTCCCCATCTCCTCATGGAAAACTCTTTTCACTTTGCTTAGCCCCATCCCCTTCTATAAGTATTTTAGTGATAGGTTCTATAGGAATTGGACGATCATTTTTATTCAAATACCTAGCGACAAACTCCTATGTTCTTTTCATTACACTATTTCCAAAAAAATTCCTAGATGAAAAGCCTAAAGGTTATCCTATTGATGATATTGATGCCGATGATAATAATGAAGACCTTAATATTGATACGGAGATGCTAACTATAACAAATGTGTTGATGTCTATGACCACAAAAATAGACCAATATGATATCACCATTTGAATTAACAAAAGCAATGTATTATTGCATAATATGGATTCCAAACATTCATGATCTGCATGTGAATGAGTCAAATTACTTGTCCCTCGATCTATTAAAGAACTATCTTTCCAGGGATTGTGAAAGATGTTCCGCTGAAAAGATTCTCGTTATTGCTTCGACTCACATTCCCCCAAAAGTGGATCTCGCTCTATTAGCTTCAAATAAATAAAATGCATGCATTAAAATACAAAGACATCTTCTTCCACAACAATGAAAGCATTTTTTCATTCATATACTAGATGATTTCACTTGCAAAAGAAGATGTTCCAGACTAACGAATTCGGTTCCATGACCATGGGTTCCAATGCGTGAGATCTTGTAGCACTTATCAATGAGGCCATATCAATTAGTATTACATAAAATAAATCTATTATAGAAACAGATACAGTTAGATCAGCTCTTCATAGAAAAACATAGGATTTTCAAACCCTGATAAGATCGGTTCAAGATCATGGAATCCTTTTCTATTAGATAGTTGTTGTACTTATTAGTAATTGCCTCATAGATCATATATATATATATATATGAAGAAAAAAAATGTAACGGAAGTGGTTCTTATTTGTACAAATGGTACTTCAAACTTGGAACATGCATGAAGAAAATTAACAATACTTCTTTATCTTTTGAGTTGTTCTATACTGAAGATTGTCAATTGTGATGTCAAGATTGCCTGGCTAAACACACATTGAAGAACGACAAGTTGCGACACTAAGATCACATGACATCACTTAAATATTGAAAACTGTTGGTTGTGACGCTAAGCTCACCTTATTGAGCATAAATTAAAGAACAACAAACCGCGATGTCAATATCATCCGACCTCAATTAAATATTGAAGATTGAGATTGTCACCTGTGGTACCAAGATTTCCCTTCTGAGCACAAATCAAAGAATGACAGACCGCGATGCCAAGATTCCCCAGCTCATTTAAATATTGAGGACGACGAGTCGCGACGACAAAATAGCCTGACTGAGCATAAATGAAGACTAGAAGACTACGACACTAAAATTGCCGATTCTCTCATTAGAAATGAAGAAAAACCTTTATTTTGTTCTCGACTCCTATCACCTACAGT